AGTCGTATCTCGGGAAATGCAAGTCTCATATTGCCAATGAAGAAAAGCCCCCTAAGACTCGGCAAAAAGATGTATGAGTTCTATGGGGCTCCAATCACAAAGTTCTGGTTACACACTGTAAGTGCAATAGTGTTATATGTGTAGTACACCCCGAAATGCAATCTGATTTTCGACGCCGTTTCGGTGCCAAATTTCGGCGCCGTTTCGGCACCAAATGGACTGACTAGTCCGGTGGCAAATTTTGGTGTCAAAAGGTTTCGGTGTCGAAACGGTCCCGGAACAGCGCTGAATTTTTTGGATGCCGATACGGCACTGAATTATGTTGGCTGTGTAATGCCTGTCAATCAGTAATTCAAATTATTTAATCAAATACAAATAACATCTATCCAATGTAATCATTACATTATAGATAATATTGAAAATTGAGTACTATTCAAAAAAATCCTGAATACAAGTGTTAAAAATGTTTACCTCCTTGATTGCCAATGTACTCTTTATGATGCAATTCCCCTATTTTGTAGACTGCATAACTACTGTTCAGGATATGCTTATATAATCCTTGTGATACAGTTCCACTTTTATGACGCTGTTCTTTGTTGAAGATTGCCAATATAATCTTCATGATGCTGTTCATGTTCTCCTATGTTGTAGATTGCATATATACTCTTCATGATGCTGTTCTCCTCCTGTTTCACTTTTATGACGCTGTTCTTTGTTGTAGATTGCCAATATCACGTTTATGATGCTGTTTGTTGTAGATTGCATATATACTCTTCACGATGTTGTTCGAGCTCCTCCTGTTTCACTTTTATGATGCTGTTCTTTGTTGTAAATTGCCAATATAATCTTCATGATGCCGTTCCACTTTTATGACGCTGTTCTTTGTTGTAGATTGCCAATATAATCTTCATGATGCTGTTTTCCTATGTTGTAGATTGCATATATACTCTTCATGATGCTGTTCTCCTATGCTGTAGATTGCCAATATAATCTTCATGATGCTGTTCTTCTATGTTGTAGATTGCATATATACTCTTCCTGATGCTGTTCTCCTATGCTGTAGATTGCCAATATAATCTTCATGATTCTGTTTCACTTTTATGACGCTTTTCTTTGTTGTAGATTGCCAATATAATCTTCATGATGCTGTTTGACTTTTATCATGCTGTTCTTTGTTGTAGATTGCTTATATACTCTTCATGATGCTGTTCTCTTATGCTGTAGATTGCCAAAATAATCTTCATGATGCTGTTTCACTTTTATGATGCTGTTCTTTGTTGTAGATTGCTTATATAATCTTCATGATGCTGTTTCACTTTTATGATGCTGTTCTTTGTTGTAGATTGCTTATATACTCTTCATGATGCTGTTCTCCTATGTTGTCCTTGTGAAGATGAGGATGATGCCATCGTGGCAGGAGGGATTTGTCATCTCATATATTTTCACACTGGCTATTGAGAAGATTAGAGAGGTAAGTCAATAATATTTATGGAATTACATACTCTTGATCTGAAGATGTAACATGACATACCTGAATTTACTTTTATAAGGTGAAATCCATAAAAATCCATTTTACGTTTTTATGTACCCTTTTCATTTAATATTTATTGAATTTCAGACGTATTAATGATGTTAGATTGAAAAACCTTTAACAGATTTTTCTTACATAATCTTCAGATAGGGACATGTTATGCCAGTCTGTTCTATGGCACATTATGCATCATATTGTCGTTTTTGTTGTAGAGAGGGTTGCCTTTATTTTTCACACCCTGTACTTGTAATAGATGGCAAATAAGTATTTGCTGCTCTCTATGTACTAATAAGGCCACAGAGTATTATGATTAAAAGTTCAAGTATATCTTAGTTCTTAACTTGCAGCTTTGATGGTATTTTGACTAGGAATTGTGATTTTAAAGATATCTCCCAGTTAGACAAATAAAAAACAACCAAACTACATGTGAATTATTGATTGTATAGAACATGACAATAGAAGTATGTTTAAATAAGGTATGTCTATATAAAGAATGTATACATGTAAATGTCTGTATATGGAATCTTTTAATGGATAATATTGTAACACATGCAGATCTTTATTGTGTAACCTTATAAACTGATGACCAACTCTGCCCATATGATTGAACCTTTGTCATGTAACATCTTACACTGACATCCAACCCATTAAAGATATTGCTTCATCATTCACTAGCAGGTGGATATTTGTAATAGCCTTCCTCTTAGATTAACTTTCATGACTTTTTTATGTCACCACCACAAGTGATGACATATTGTTATGCTCTCCAACATTTTTGTGGACGATGTAGTGGCATTCAGCAGTTGGTGTTTAGCTGTCGGCATTCGGTGTATATAACAAATGGCAGGTGGTTACATCTTGCACTTTGGTTCCTTGTATTTATGTATCAGAAGAAGTTTAGTTAATTAAATCCAACCTCATGCAAAGGATGCACTTTTTATTTGCAGTTATTTTAGCTCATATGGTATGAAATATTTACCTACTTGTTTATCTTGTTTCAGTTCATTCATTCATACAATGTATGAATTACCATTTAATTGTCAACATTAAGCAGTAGATGTAAATAGTTATAGTTAATTGCAGAAACATTATATTTATATTTGAAGTACTGATTCCAACATGACCTTATATTGTTCAATTTGACAATGTGTTTTCAATCTTTCCATGTGACCTTGATATTCAAAGTGACTATCTAGTTCAATGTGACCATTTAGTTCAATATGACCATGTCATTCAGCACTATCTTGCAGCTTTATATGACAATACATTCAATGTAACCATGTTGTTTTAAAGTGACCATTTAGTTTAATAGGACCCTGTCATTCAGCACTATCTTGCAGTTCTATATGACCATACATTCAATTGTGACCATGTTGTTTTAAAGTGACCATTTGGTTCAATATGACCATGTCATTCAGCACTATTTTGCAGTTCTATATGACCATACATTCAATGTGACCATGTTGTTTTAAAGTGACGATTTAGTTCAAGATGACCATGTCATTCAGCATTTTATGATATTTTACTACAGATGAAATTAATAAATGCTAGCCAGTAATGCCATTGGCGCTTGGCAGCAAAAAAAAAAAAAAAAAATCAGCACTATCTTGCAGTTCTATGTGACCATATATTTAACATGTTGTTTAAAGTGACCATCCAGTTCAATGTGACCATTTATTTCAATATGACCATGTCATTGAACACAATAATATAGGCTAGTTCAATGTGACCATTTAGTTCAACGTGACCATGTCATTGAACACAATCATATAGGCTAGTTCAATGTGACCATTTAGTTCAACGTGACCATGTCATTGAACACAATCATATAGGCTAGTTCAATGTGACCATTTAGTTCAACATGACCATGTCATTGAACACAATCATATAAGCTAGTTCAATGTGACCATTTAGTTCAACATGACCAACATGACCATGTCATTGAACACAATCATATAGGCTAGTTCAATGTGACCATTTAGTTCAACATGACCATGTCATTGAACACAATCATATAGGCTAGTTCAATGTGACCATTTAGTTCAACATGACCATGTCATTGAACACAATCATATAGGCTAGTTCAATGTGACCATTTAGTTCAACATGACCATGTCATTGAACACAATCATATAGGCTAGTTCAATGTGACCATTTAGTTCAACATGACCATGTCATTGAACACAATCATATAGGCTAGTTCAATGTGACCATTTAGTTCAACATGACCATGTCATTGAACACAATCATATAAGCTAGTTCAATGTGACCATTTAGTTCAACATGACCATGTCATTGAACACAATAATATAGGCTAGTTCAATGTGACCATTTAGTTTAACATGACCATGTCATTGAACACAATAATATAGGCTAATTCAATGTGACCATTTAGTTCAACATGACCATGTCATTGAACACAATAATATAGGCTAGTTAAATGTGACCATGTAGAGATGCAATTATGATTTTTATGAAGCCTATAGAGAGAAGGCAGTTGATATGTGACAGTTATAATACAAGAGTTGAATCTGTGGCCAACATCGATCAGATTACAAAATAAAAATCGAAAAGCTATAATTGCATTACTTGAATTGACTCCACATAATTAGAGGAAGTTGAAATCAAGATTTTTTATCGAAAAGTTCTTTTTTTATTTTTATTTTCTTTATGTTTGATTATTAAATTATAGTCTTAAGAAGAATGCTTAAAGACATGATAATTAAGGTATTTCAGAAAAGTGGAATGTTTTATATTTAAATAATGATAAATCTGTTATTTAGTTATACTGTAGCTTAAGTGATTCACATTGCAGTACGTAATATTAATTGATAAAATAAGGTGCAGATAATCCAGACAAAAAATTGATATTTTTCCTAATATTATGTAAACTACACTTATACTAAGACACCTGGAGTCTAACATGTTTGAACCAATTTTGGACAACCCTGTATATTAATCAAGTTCTTGCGTTGAAGCTTTGAACAATTCAGTAGTGATGGTTGCCTATTATTTCTCAACTCCAACGTTTAAGAGTTACTTGGTTTGCTATCTACTATAAGCTAGAATTAACAAATCATTCTTTGTTATCGGGTAATATATTGCTTCCGAAAGGGTCAAGTTTAACTACTGCAGCGCAACCCTACATCAACTCTCATTTCTCCCTGCATAAACATATGGATATTATTTTGTGAATATTGGATCAGAAATATGCTCAAGAGCTGTGGTTTTATAGTTGTTATTTATTTCAATTTCGAAAACTGAATCTCCATCTTAAATGATCAGATAGAAAGCTACTATTGAAATTTCCCTGAGGGAATGTTAAAGCCGTAAATAAATCACACATAGTAGGAATCCAGTAAACAGGAAACTTTCAATTATCAATTATGCAATACCATTAATCAACAGTTTAAAATAATTATTTTTAGTTATCTATAAAATAACTTTGATAATGTTAAGTTTTACTGATGAGTTCATTGCGAAGTGTTATTAGTAAGGTAGACCACAACTATGTTGAAACAAGATAACATGAACAGTGGTTCAATCATACTAAGAAATCAGTAAATTTACTGTTATATTTCATTATTATTCCCTTAATATTTTTAGATTGTGTTTTATATGCCATTTTCAGTCAAGTGACAGGTCTATGTATTTTTAAATCAATATATGTCCACATGTGTAATTAATTATTACATTTTGGGGAGGGGGTAAAAGTCTGCTGATACATTGGGTCATTCTGAATTAACAGATTCTCTTTCTTTTTGCTTACAGTACACTTTGAATACAATAAACAAGATCATATACCATGAAGATTAGCTTGGTTCAACTTTATATTAATTTGAATATTTCAAAGACAAACATGAAAAATGAATTCCTGAGTCTAAGTTCAGACCTACACATCTAGAGCTTTAGTAGATTATCACTAATAAGTATGTGTGTCCTGGTTTGAACCTTGGATTAAACCTTTGTTTATCTCAAATATACGTTCAATTTTGCATTCAATAAAAATGAATATATAGAACAACATGAAAAATGAAGCACTTGGTAATTTTTTTATTTTCATTTGATTGCCTGATTTGAACGATTTCATTTGAAGCATGAATACAAAAAATATGACTAGAAATGTGCAGAATTGTCATATAAACTACTGAACAATGTAAGTATATTGCATCCACTTCAATAGTATTTGTAATTAACCATGGAATTTTATCCATTAATTTACCTATAAAAACAATAAAAATGCTGTTAAATTTCATGAAGTAAGTTGTTGATACATTAGAACATACATGTATTCACCATCATAGGACGAACCATGTTGCATGTGTATTTCATCCTATTATTTTGTATATTACGACACGGAGCAGGATCCAAATCAGATGGACGACAAAAGGTATTATCTAATGATGAATATGGGGAGTATTATGGCACAAATCGTGATTCTGCAAAAGAAATATCTGTGACTTGTGAACTAGGCTATGTTGTATCATATGCCAGGCTTAAATTGATGCCTCATGCACATGGGCCTTTAAGTTCATTAATAGATTTTGCAAAGGAAGTTCATGCAAATTTGTCTCGTTTGAGTAGAAAGGGCTCTGAGATTCACCTCACATCAGGAAAACGTGTGAAAAAGCACTTGAAAAGATTAAAATCTTCGCTGACGTTAATTTGGAAAAGGTACAAACAATTTGAAACAAAGTTGCATGTTATCAAAAAATTGGTGAACATTTTATATAAACATTCCAAGAATCCTGTTTTTGGTGAAAATGAACTATTTGTGACGTATGACACTTTATCATTTGATGTAATCATTGAGCGTCTGACAGAACTGGAACTATCTTTCCACAGTGTGCCTCTAAATTTTATCACCCGGGGGAGAAGTAAGGTGAAAAGTCTACAGAAAAAGATGTCTGATATCCAAGGTACTGTATTACAGATAGGAGACGCTTTACATGACACAAATCAGCTTGCTGATAAATTTATTGTGCTATATGGTATGAATTATACCTGTATTGGAAGATGCATAAATGGACAGTCATATTGTAGCAATATCGAATGTCTGCCAGGATACGAAGGATATGCATGTCAAGTTAAAAGTTATGGTCAGTATATATTTGTTGAAGTTTTACTATGTAAAATTGTTATTAGTAATAGACAAAAAGCACCATTTTAGACTACTGTGCAATATTCATTTGTAGGGATCACTATGAGTATTAGACTCATCAACATTAGTTCTGTTCAATTAAAAAATATAGATGAATAAACATAAGGAGCTCACATATCTCGAGCTCACAACCTCATGGTTATTATTATATGGGGACGGACAGCGCCTAGCTGAATGTGTTCAGTACTCTCTAAAGATATACTTGAAAACTTGAATTGAACTTTGTTTTGAACTTCAGAGTTTGGAAAATGTTTCATAAGAGAGGGGAACTTGACAACCTTTGATGGTGATGAGTACAAACTAAATGTGAATGCTTCAAGATACATGGCCGCATTTCTTAGACATACCTGGATATCATTCTATGTGGATACCATATCCGATACAAGAGGAATAAATGGGGTCACTATTTATGTTATGTCTGACCAATACACCCTACTTGCGAATGGGGAAGCTAAGGTGAGACCAAAGTATATACATTGTTATTGTATCAGCCTCCTTCCATTTGTGATAATATTTTACTTCATGATATGTAAATGGAACCATAGAGCAATTACCTGGAAACCAGGGGGTTGTGAGTTCAATCCACACGAGGGTGTACTGACTTTTTTACATCAGCCCTAAGCGCAGGATTTAATTCTGTGTTTTCATTAAATAGGCTTAACCCTTAAGTGAACTCAAAGTGACTTCATAATTGATAGCAAAGATATAATATCTACTAGAATTGATATATTGATAAAATAGCCCTGTAGAGAGCTATAAAAGGAAGTTCATATGACAAACACCCATGAGATAATACGTTTATTACTTCTCTGACTTAATCAGAAATGTGATTATATATTTTAACCCTGCCTTTTATTTACAGATAAATGATGTGACACAGACTCTACCCTCAGTAAAGAATTTTGACCATTATTTGACTGGACATGCTTCCCTTGAAAAAGATGGTGACTGGCTGAAATTTCATTCCACAATCCATCAGTTGACAGTGGAATTTTCCACAAACGGAAATGATGATGTCACTGTATCATTGAGTACATATTGGAAGACATTAATGGGAGGCAAATGTGGTAATTTCAATGGAATCATGTCAGATGAATATGATTATGGTTACTAGACCATAATTTGCACATCATTGAGTAATAAAGATACTTGCATTTGATACAGATGTTGCATTGTTGAATTTTTGTGAATTGAGGTACACATTGTGCAGTCCATTTTTCTGTGAAATATGCTCTCGTAACTATTATGATAGACACACATTAGTTTTCATATTCTTTATATAAATGGTCAGATTTGCACAGACAGTGTGTTAGCAGTATGAACCATGCAATAGGTGTCAACCCTTTGACATTCTTACAACATTTCGGGATTGGGTGCTCCATTGAATGCACACTTTCTATTCTATATTCCGATGAAATATCAAGTAACTTTATTGCTTTTAATTCCTGATGAATGATATAATGTCATAGTTTGTGATATTTGGGTCTATTTTTCGATTGACTAGTATTCTCAGATGCTTTTTTCTTGCTGTGTTTTATAATGCTCTTGGGTCTTGCATTTAGCACCTGTGCTTACATGTTTAAACATGCAATGTCTCAATTCCTGGAAATACCACGAGTGGGGCAGGTGTAGTTATAAGATTGTTCTATTCATTTGCACCACATCATGCAATCTTGAAGATAATTCACTTCTTGTTCACCACTACGATCTTATCACTAGATAACAATCAATTATTGTTCAACTTGATCTACTTCTTCAATTTGTAGTCTTAGTTTTGTATTGTTTGTCAGTAACTATACTGTTTGTAGTACTGTGCTGTTTTCATTTGCCTTACAATGATATTATGTTTATTACTAATGCTTGTCAACTAGTGAGTGTCCTAATAACTCAGGCCTGTAGCCAGGATTTGCCAAGGGGGGTTCACTATTTGGAAAATTCCAGGGGGGTCCACTTTTGACAATTTTGGTCCAAAAATGGCTAAAATCTCTTAAAAAGTGCTCAGAATGGTGAAAAACTGCATGATTTTGAAAGAATTTTTGGCCAGGGTGGGGGTTGTTCGCTCGAACCCATCGGACCCCCTGGCTACGGGCCTGTAACTGGTGTATGTTTCATCAATCATATTCAACAATATAAGACATGGTTAACAAAAGTATCTATGCTTTCTTATTTGAGTGGGAATATCACACTAGGTTCTCAAGGATGGTTGATTTAACTTAGGTGGTAGTTCACTTATACATGTCCACTTGTCTGCTTAGCTATGGAATCAACATTTTTGAGGAAATTGTATTTGTGTCAACTTATAACGTCAAAGGCATCTTAGATTTCCTACACTCCATTGAACCAAGATCAACTTTGAAATTGGTGAAGAAGTTTTATTTTACCTAATTGCCTCATATTATATTAGGCCTATATATCATGCAATGTTTATATTGAACTTCTCAAGGACATTTGGCTTATATATCCAGCTAGATTTATATTGGAATGGGCTTTGATTATGAAACTCTAATAAAGGTGATAAAACTGTTCAAACATGATGTTAATTGGAATATCTTACCAGAATTAGAATCAATAAGTTGCTATTGATGTTAGCTGAGATTTAGTAGCAACTTTGGATACATTCGCATTGTTAATAAAGTGATAATAATATAGTCTGTATGTGAAATACTAAGCCTTCTAAATTGTCACATTTTTCATATGTGGTATGACTAATATATATTGCCCGAAGGATTTGATTTTTTGAATATGAATTAAACAGAATATTTCTATGTAATTGTTATTTTTATTGAGAAATGCATTTATACTTTAGATAGAATTGTAAAGCTATTAAGTGTTAATTGCTTTCGAATGGATACGTAATAAAAGACAGGTAATAAGATGATTGTACTCTTCAATTCATGACTTAGGCTTGTGACTACATGAATTGTGTAGGGCACAGAGTGATACATATCAGTAAGTAGATATAATGGTCATGACATTGAACCATACCACTAAGAGACAGAACGTGATTATTGCAATTTGTGGTGAAGGACCTGTCTCGATGGTGTGATTTCATGACACCATACTTCCTCTTTCAGACGTAAAGCAAATAATATTTACAAATTAACGTCTGCTTACATGGTGTCAGTGTCAGTAACGTAAAAAAAATTTGACTTGAGTAGATGACTTATTTGGTAATACAACACAATTCATTATCATCTGTCATGAACTTGTCTACTTTGATGACATGTACAGCTAAGAATATTCAAATATTTCAACTGCTTATAAGAGCAACTGATCAATTAAGTTTCATGGTTGCAGTGAGTTAATTCTGAGCAAGATTTCTTATTAGGTATGTACATCTATGCACAAGTACCAAAGAGAAAGGACCAGGAATGGTTACATAACACAAAAAATGAAGGCATCTAGGAGTATTCCTGTCATGTAGAAAATAAACCCCAACTATCCCAAATCATGATTTAACGTGAAAAAGAAACAGCATCTAATAACCCCCTCCGCCCACCATACAAGTACCATTATCTCAATTTGATTTTTAGAGGATGAAAATATACAAGGGGAACACATCCCACTAAATCATATCAACAAGTTTAACAAAGAGAACAGGCACAAAGAGAATTTATTTTTGGGATCCTTATATATAGTAACATGCAAGTTGGAGTATAAGATCAATAATTTGTTAAGAGTGTAGGTTTAGGTCAATCATATGAAGTTTATAATATTTCATCTATATATTGATACATAATTTTAATGGATCCTGTGAAAAATATTAAATATTGTTACTAAATTGCCTCTATTTGAAGTGATTGAACTATATCAATTTAATTTCAAAATTAGATGCTTAGACTATATTTTACATTACTTTAGAATATCTTTCAAATTATTCACTTTCAATCAAACAGTATAAATGATGATTTTACAATCTACTAAAATTCCAGATATGACTTCATATGCTGCTGGAATTCCATGATCGAATTGATTAATTCAGTTTCAATGAAGGCCATGGCATTCCATCAACCTTTGATAGCACTGTGTAGTTGTCATGTTTTTATATGGCTGTATGGTTCATGTTTGGAACACGATATCACATTAAAATTAGATGGCTAAACTGATTACCTGTCTCTTTCATATGATGATATCAGGATGATGCCCTATTTTATTGATGGCTTGCCTAATCATCTAGAATTATGAGTAAACTCTGTCACAAAGATAGAATAGGCAGCTGAACTTCAGTTATTGAATTGTATCGATCAGAATCGGGAAGAGGATTTCAAAATCACAATGAGATTAACCTCACTCATTTTTACATGGTCTTTTAGGTCATGCTCAAAATAGAACCAATTTTTGTGACGTACGTATTACCAGAAAGAACACATCATGATTTAGTAGTTGCATGCAATGTTTTGTCTTTCTCTCTTTATTTCATTACGCATGCAACCTTCATATCTGCAAATGTTCTCATCGTTTCAAAATAATATAATATCTTATATTAATGAAATGTTAGTCAGGAAACACAAGGGGAACCATTATGATTAAAAAAAGGCAAACCACAAAACTAGTTTTTGAAATTGTTTTTTTCCATATTTCAGCCAATTGAAAAACCCAGGTAGAAAATGTTAAAGCCAAGAAACTACCATCCCTAGACTAGTTTTTGAAATTGAAATTGTTTTTTTTTCATATTTCAGCCAATTGAAAAATCCAGGAAGAAAATGTTAAAGCCAAGAAACTACCACTCCCTAGACTAGTTTTTGAAATTGAAATTGTTTTTTTTTCATATTTCAGCCAATTGAAAAACCCAGGTAGAAAATGTTAAAGCCAAGAAACGACCACTAGATGTAGTGTTTGCTTAAAACCATAGACTGTACTATTCATATTATTTCTAGCTGTAAATCTTTTTGTATAATTATTCTCAATGGTTGTTATCCCATCAAATGAAGTTTGGAGGGATAAAGAGAACGACCTCATCCTTATGTATGTACATCTGGGTAATAACTCAAATACCGTTTGCCTGATTTTGTTCATATTTTGTATACATGTGCCCTATGGGAGTAGAAGAAGTAAAAATGCTAGCCATGGCTGGGATGGGATTTGCTACGCTTTGGCATTGCTGTTCACTAATTTTACTGTGTATAGTATGATCTTTTCAGCTGATATATGGATCATTGGGTTAATGTTTTTAAACATTGCATTGTCAGTTAAATGTATGTAATACTGTTAATATTTCAGTTTATTTCAAGCCATTTATGGAATTCTGTTATCAAATTTAAACAAAACACATCTAAGATATAATTATAATGTATTATTATAATGTATAATTATATTTTTCCATAAAAATTACATCATACATTTAGTTTCATTTATATTCCACGTAAAAGTATGTACTATATTAAATAATTGCTAAAATCTTCTTACATTCCATAAAGGTTTACATAATCTGGTACATAATGTACATGTACATAATCATATATGTTTTAGATAATGTAACACTTCTGCAGTAATCAATGAAGTCAACACCATTTACAAATAAATTGATTGATATGATATTTATTTTAATCACAGCTTTGAATCTTTAATCCCCAAATATGAAGTTGAAGTATTGCAAAACATTCCGGTTCAATATATATATGTCCCTGTGGTAATAGGTTACTTTCATTGTGGATTTCACTTCAATATAATTGATCAGACACAGGAGGAAAATATCACGGAACTAAAATTATAAATAGGAGGGACTAATTCAGAAAAATAGGTGACAACATCAGAAAAACTGAAAACTGAGGAACAACATTGGGAAAATCATAAAGATCAGAGGCAACACTAGGTTAATCTGATAATCAGATTATTTTGATAACATTTTTTATCATTTAAGCTGTTTTTTATTTATTTAATAGTTCTTCATTCTCTCGTGAAAATACGTAATTTGTATTCATGTAACATCATCACAATATGAAATATTTGCACTCAAGAAACTGCTCTCTGTCATGGCCAGTGAAGCAAAGAAGATGCATGTGTGTTGAGACTTAGACACCAGTTTTACCATATTCAAGAATTATCAAATTATCAGGGCATCTTTATGAATTCTCTTGAAAAGCAGTTGGCGTTCTTGTATCTTTAGAGCAAGCCAGCGAGACTAAGTTATAGTTGAAAGTGTATATACATGTAATTATGCACTCATGCACTTATGAACCCCCCCTGGAAATTTTTGAAAACTGAACCAACCCCCCCCCCCCCCTTGGCAAATCCTGGCTACAGGCCTGGCACTCATTGCAATTTGGTATAAATCAGGTTCTATATCTTGACATTTACATGTATATACATAATATTTGTATATTATGTTAATTTACATCAGCCTAAATTTTAGACTAGTACATTTACAACAATATTCATGAATAAATCAATGAATAAATACAAAATTACGATTATCCCATACTTTGACATGTTTAAATTATATAACAAATTTGTAAAAATTGTATTTGCAACAGGTAGCAGGATACAGCTTCACACCCTCTCAAAGGGGGCAAATATGATATGAAATTCTGCATAATTAAGTCTAATAGGATAAACAGATCATTTTGTAGTTCTTAGGATATTGGGATTTTCCCTCAGGACCTGGAGTACTCAAACAAAATATTTTAATATATAAGTGTCAGAATAATTCCAATGTCCTTCTTTTTATTAGACTCCAGATTGAAAATCTGGAGTCTATTGTTTTTGCCTGTATTCTTTATGTTACCTCTATATACATACAGTATGTGATAATTTATAATCCCCGTATTGAACATTATAAGATCTTCACCTCTCAAGAGTTCTATTTGTAAACGGCTATGGTCATAGCTCACTTGTTATAATATTGAACATTGCACCAAATATTTATAGTTTTAGAGATGAATACATATAAATTAATTAATAAACATTAATCCTTTGCAAAATATTTGCTCTAATTATAAGCATTGTTCTTATAAGTCTATGTCTAGACATTCTTACTGCACTTATGCTTGTCTGCATTCATAAAGTAAATGAAGATTGCAATAACCTATACGGTAACATAGAATTCCGTTCAATACAATCATATTCACATTCACCTTTTCACCTGCCAAATTAGGAATTCTAGCATTGTCTAAAATCAACAGATTAAAGAATAAAAATATCTGAAAGATACTCTGATTGGTATGCCTTTGACATGTCACATACAATTAAATTCATGATATATTTGAAAATATCTGTGAATTATTTGTTTTCATAAGAATTATCAGTTGACATACCAAAAAATTATGTACTATATGAAGGGCCCACAGCAATGGTGGCGTACAACATGTACATGACACTGTATTTTTGAAATTCAGAAAATGACTACACATGATAAAGTCCTAAAACTGGTGCTAAAGCAATAAGGAACAATCATGGGACCCCTAAAATATACCATAAGAAGGGTTCATTATAAGTATACGTTTATGTTAAATCATTATTCATAACTTCCAGTAAGTATCTTATGCTTACTGATATTTTTACAATTTAAATGTCAGAAAATATAAACAATTAAATGTACACATACCTCATTTTATTTACACTTTTTGGTAACTAAGAATAATTAGATAGTAAACAGTTGTTATTAGATATGTTTTAGTTTGATCATTATTTTATTGGAGTTTCATCCGTAGTTGGTTTCTTGTTCTGTCCTATCTCTATGATCAAATTCTCTAAAAGAGGTGAGTTTGTCTTATGCACCTTTCTCTTCACTTGTGGACTACTCATTCTACGGCGTTGTTTATGCCCACAAAAGATTCTCGTCAGTTCACGTCGAAATCGCTTTCCCGTCAGTATATAAATGTAGAAATTGATGCCATGGTTAACATACATTGTTAGGTAACATATGACACGGATAAGGAAGTTTACAGCTTGTTCTCTGGCATCAGATACTGTGTGATTTGGAAACAGTGTGTAGACGGTGTATGGAATAGTGGTGATGATCCAAACAAAAGAAACTGTCAGCAACATTAGTGTCAGCTTCTGACTGTTTGCCGAATAGGTGGCGCTGTGTATACTTCCTGTGTGTCCTTTCATACTTTGATGTTGCGACTCTATGAAGCGTCTATGGCACATTAGTGCTACAACTATAGAACAATTAAACAGTAGAAGTAGCACAAATGGAATCAAAGAATACACGGCCAGATTGATTTTTGGAAATATATCACATATAAAGTAGTCATCTTTTTCACTCGTACACACTGATTTTCCTGGCCTGTTTGAGTCTGGGACTAGTTTTGTAGTTATCAAGACATGACAGTTCACTGCTAGTAGTAAAAATGCAAGGCATAATGTAACAATTCTAGCACGTTTCTTACTACACACTGTCGTTGCTTTGAATGGAAACCATATTGCAATGACCCGCTCTGTTGTCATAGCAACCACAAGCCAAGCAGAAAAGTGTGCGCTGTAGAAAAATAGAAATTTTAGAAACTTGCACGCAAAGTTTGACACATGCAGTAGCTCGAAGCCTGACCACGTTCTGATCCATGTCTTTAAGGCACTTACGACCAGCACTATACTGTCAGTGACAGCCAGTATGGCCAAGTAATGGCATACAGAGCTAGTCCTCATACGTCTACGTAACATTATCACCAAAGACAAGACATTACCTATAAGTCCAAACACTATGATAACTGGCAGGAGATAATTGATAAGTCCAACCCCAATCTTGAATTCAATATAGTTTGATCGTTTGCTTAATGGTTGGTCTTGGTCTGAGTCGTAATTTACACTACGGTTGTAAGTAAAGGGCTCGACCATGTCATCTACCGTGCTTGTCTCCCACATCCCCACAGGGTATGTAACATGGTAGGTGTTATTGGTAGCCATAATGGAACTGTACATGTATCTATGTCACTTTATGTCCAGGCACTAGATTCATAAAAAATCTTTACTGGGATTGAACTGTCGGTCAATAATTTTAAGGTAAGTTGATTCAGTTCCGTTCTTTAAGTACTGTGTATATGCATTGCTGGCCATGTCCTCTTGTAGACTATTCTTGCCGTACTTTAGTCACTTCCTCAGTTTCTGAAATAGGATCAAATAGTGTATGTTCATGAGCAATTAGTGTCTTATAATAACATTGATATCCTATATTCTAATGATTTTTTGTCCACATAGATTAGGTAACACTATAGCCTTCTCTATTATTATGTTATTTCACAGCTCTTCTGTTTCTAAATGGCGCTTAATAGATTGTTTCTACTTCCCACTGAACCCTGAATGTCAATTAATTTCAGAATGCTAGTAATGAGACATTAATGGTTGTTAATATGTTATACATGGATATGTAAATGCAATTGATAATGGGTTACTCCCTTTTGTATTAAAACACAGAAAAATGAACAATGAAAAGCTGGTTAGGGACGTTGTCCAATTTTCAACACATTTGTGGAATAGTTTCGTTAGGGGAGAGGGTAAATAATTGTTTTGTTTGGGTATTGATTTATGTAATATTTAAGTGAAAGGCAAATCAACATTTTAATATTTTGTTAGATGATGAGAGGGAGTTCAAACCATACTGAAATTCATTTTATTATCTTCAACTGTTGATAATCAGATACCATCTCTTATAAGGAAACAAACAACAATATCCCAAACACTGATCTACAAAATCATTGGTTACCATTTAGAAACTATTCAAATTTGCATTTTGTTAATTGCAGTGTATGAAAATACAGTTGGTGATTTTGAAATACATTTTCATTATATATAATATGTATCTTTGATTCTCTGTTGTCATTACAATGACATAGTAGTCACATTAACTATTTCAATTTGTGTTCCGTTATTTATTTTACGTAGCGTGTGATGAAGATATTCTTGAAGCAAAGTTTATAAGGTTAAGCAAGATATGTGTTTTTCGAAGTACTTTTAAGTTATATTTATATGTTCTGTTTAACAACAAATCAGTTGAGCTTCCCCAGATGTTAAGAGTCTTCACAAAAGTATTTGGGTATGAAGTAGAATTCTATAATAGATAGGTTAGAATTTACCTGATTCCATTATTATCGTTATATTTTTTTATTATATTATATATGCTGTACATGCAAATATTTGAATGGGGTTCTACTATGATGAATAATGTAGAATGTATTCTTTAGGGGATGTATAATTGCTTAGTAACCACTGTAAAGCACAACATTGCCGAGTCAACCACATAATAAGACAGACATTATCTCTCAATTATCTTGCGCATGTTTTACATCATTGAATTGTTCTTTAATTGCTCATTCATTGTTGTTGTCAGGAGAGTTGAAATGATGAATTCAGTGTACATTTAAACCACCAATCAATTTTCTTGAGGAAATTTAGATGAAATAAGTTACCCTGCAGTATAGGTTCTTTATATGATAATCTCATCATTATAACACTAAGCTCAACGTTGGAGAAAACAACTCCAAAGAATGCATATCAACTATACATCGTCAGAACTACTATAAATAATACATGCAAAGGCAGTCGTCATGACCATACCATCAGTATCAAAGCATCCCAAAACCATGTTAATACCGACTAGTCTAAATAGACTATGGTTCTAATTGATTTTATATTATTCTATTTTCATTTCGTAACAGTTTTCAAATGCTCAGACCATGGGCATTCAATAGATCTATTAAAAGCCCATGCTCAAACCAAATTCCTTTAAAAATTAGAAATTGCATATATTGATGGCCACATCAATCTCAAATGGATTTTGTTATCTTTTCTCAGAAAAATCAGAGAATTGAAGTCTTTATTTACATTCTACTTGCGATTTGTACTCGATAAGTAAAAAGGAAATAGGGAATGAGAATTTCACTGCCAGCTAATGCATAATTGATCTATGTTACTTCATTAGCCTTTAAAGCTGTCGAGAACATTTAGAATAAACTGTTCTTTTAGAGGCGAATAAATGAATCGCATCTTTATATAGAGTCTTTACATTTTTAATAGAAGCAACATTTGCAAGGTCACCGTTTCTATGGATATAGAGACCAAGAATGCAATGAATTATTCAGATGTGATGGAAACTACAAATGATTTAATTTGCAGTCCAGATGGTTCTCCTAATATTTCCATTCCCTCTTCAATAATATAATTGTGAACTATCGGGTTACTTCCAATTATTATATTATTATTACTATTATAATTGTATAATATTTTTAGAATATTGTCAATAGTTCATGTTCTAATTGGAAAGGCGAAGAGCATCGTATGATTATCTAGAATATTATATTTAAAAACCATTGCATGAAATATTAGTTTTAATCCTTCATAATTTTCAGGAGAATATTGATGCATGTAAAGTAAACTAAAGAAATATTTTTACATATGGATAAGCCCAGAGCCTTGATATAGTATCAATAGTATCAAAAATATTGGCATTTCTTGCCAGTATAGGCCTGCACATTGGGAAATGCGATTAGGAGCAACCTTTTTAACGCAGACTATGTCATGTCACAATTTGGAGAAAAAAAACCTAAGAAGAAATAGGGATCAAAGTTTCAGATGAAAATTTACTAAAAAATGAATTCTATTCTATTGTATTCTATTGAATTCTACTAATATACTGTACTTGAGAAAACATTCAAGTTTATGTGAAATTAATATCTGACCAAAGAAACAAATTAAACCCTGTGATATTAATACCAATAATCCGACATTTAATAATGATTATGGTCAGGAAAATTTTGTAATAGCCAGCTATTTTTGGCTCATTGGATTGCTATTTCTGGTCCCATATCTAACTTTGATAACAGTATATTGCTAACAAATTACTAATGTCGTAATAAACATGACAACAATCTTGATTACTTAGAATGCAAATAAGGAATGATGTCATTGCTTATGAAAGGAATTAATAACTTAGAAAATTGTCGGGAAATGTTACATTATTACAAATCTGGTGTATACTTTTAGGTATAATTTGTACTCTGGCTGAATTTATTCTTACATATTTTATTTGTTTATTGTTTTTCATTATGGTGCTATGAAAAGGTCATTCCCCAGTTGGGATTGTATATTGGAATGATAGGATATTTTCCCTCTGTCCAAGTTGTCCCTTGGGAAGATAAAATTTCATCACTCTGGATAAACCCAATACACAATCCCTCCCTAGATATAACCTCTGAAAATAAGCATTTGAATATTCTGCGTTATAACATAGATGTTTTATGTATCTTTAGTGATAATATTTCACTTCTAACAGGCAATGCACATCAACCCACATACCGGTCCCACATATATAACGATTTTATAAAACCTTACCATGATATTAAAAATGACATGAATCATATTGCAATGACATCTGAGCCAATATATATTATCCAGGGTGTCATTATTAACTGTATATATTATCCACAGTGTCATTATTAGCTGTATGTACAACTGGTGATTTTCAGTAATTGTTTGAACAGAAATTTTCTTATATTTTGAGGAATTTTGCAAATTGCTTCCATTTTTAAAGTTTTAAGAAAAATAAATTTTTGTTCATTAATTTTTCCTTAGTGTCAAAAATTCTGAAGCCTTTGATATATTACAGTAAAACCTGTCTTAGTGAACACCTCTCTCTAGTGAACACCTTTCCCTAGTAGACACCCTTCCTACGCACATAGTCCACTGGCTTCTGTATAAATTACCCTCTCTTTAGTGAACACCTACCTACAGTGAACGTTTTTTCAAAAAATGTTCACTATACACAAGTTTTACTGTACATTGATATTTTCTTGCCAGAAAGAGTGAAGTTAAAGTCAATACTGACTTGCACAGAAACCTAAATGCATATCTGAATGTCAAAAAATATAAAATATACTACTACATATGTAATAAGATAATGTGATTGATGATTATACAAAATAATAGAAAAGGAGCCTATTGTTAAAAATGACTGATGAATGTGTTAACTGAAATATGTTATAATACACAAAAATGAATGCTCAGTGAGCGTATCAGTTATAATTTTTTTAAACCCATAATGAAAAATTACCCATGCAGTTGAATGTCCTATATAAGTTAGTACTATATTAATATTTAGTAAGGTGTCATTTAGTTTCTTTTGTTTGACAGTGTTTTATATTTTATTTACATTGCACTTTGATTTTTTTGATAAACCATAGCAAACCTTCTAATGAAAGATCACTTACCACATGATATCTAAACTTTCCATATTAAATCACCTTAGAGAAATGCCTATTTTATTTCTGCTTTGACATAGTATATTGTTCTTCATTGATTCGTATGTCTCCTATAGGTCTATTTATCCTTGATTTACTAACTGTTCTACACTTACTGCTTATTGGGGACCTGTGTTACAAGGCTTGCGGAGATTATTCCTCTGTTCAACCAATCAAGGCCGCATCTATTATATTAGAACACTAACGGTGCCTACTAATGAATGAATGAGTTTTACTTTTTATTCAAGATCACTAGTGGTGCTCCCATATTTGTATAATCTCTTTTGAGGTACACATTTGCGATACTGAAATATAATTGGTTGGTACGTGTCATGTGATCGATGAAGAATTTTGGGTATTATTATGTTGTGTATTAAATAAGAATGAACGGATGTGGTTGTTTCTTGCAATGTTATCTCTAGTCTTCAAGCCAGATGTTTTAGCACAATGTATTCTCTATGTTCAGCTATTCTGAGTACCTTTATTTACTGATAGGCCTTTCTTTCCTCTTCAGCCTTAGTTGCGTAAAAGCTATCAGTATCTCTGTTGTATTTGAACCTAATAATTTGAACCTTTCACAGCTTTTAAGCAGACCTGTTCAAGGATTTTGGCCAAAAATCATCACAAATGATGCATCCACAATAGGGGCAAATAATGTCAAAGTTCTTTTTTATTGATTTTCTTTACAAATATGTACACTGTTCTCTCAGCATGACAAGTTTGGAATCAATCTGACTATCCTAAGTACTTTAATTTAACCATTTAAAAGTTGGAAGTTTGAAGAAACTGGCCAAATTTTCGCATGACGTCATGATTGACATATATCTGTACCAGAGTAGAAATACCCCAAAGTGCCCAGAGTTTGACCATCTTTTACTGCCCCAGTTATTTTTTGACTAAGAAAATAAATGCATTTATTGAGAGAATATATACAAAGTACTCGTTTGTTAAAATATCACATTTCTACGTTCCCGGGAAATGTATCTCTGAAGACGTTACAACAAGTTCACTTCAGGAAATACTGGGTTTGCAGACATTGTTATGACGCGATTTGGACTGAAGAAGGTAGGTTGATTTATCGTCGTGGATTTCCCGGGCTTATTTTCAATTTCTAGGTCATTGATTGGTCAAATGCTTTGAAACTTTGCCAAATGCCAGGACGAGGCATCACATTATTTCAGCCACCCGCCGTTTGGGAAATTTTGAAGCGGGTAAGTTGTTCCGTTGTTTTTTAGGTATTTACCTTATAATTTATGTGTATATTTCAAAACGCCGGCCACCTCGGCAAACAAGAGATATCAAACTTTAGATTGGGACTGATTTCATTGGAATACATTGTATATTGGCTTAGAAATGGGAGTGCAAAGTTGACCCAGGTCACAACGACATAATTTTGAAACAAACAAAATGGCGTGAAAGACGTCGTTGAAATTTTTTTTAAAACGTCAAGAAATTGAAAGATTTCATCGCTGTTACGCTTCCTACTCTCTAAAAAAACCAACTATCGATTTGAACTATGCCCCAATAATGTATTTTTATCATTTATCGTATATCCTTTCAGAAATTATTTATTTTAGAAACCAGGAAATGAACCATAGTCTATTATCGCCCACTCTGCTTTCAAGTTTTTCAATGTGGAAATATTTCGGTGATTTGTTATGTATCAGAGGTCGAGATGGTTATAGCAGTCCATTTAACATGTTCATGTATAACAATCTATAGTTATTTTGTGATGATTTTCTTCTTTCACCTTCATTTTCAATTGTAAAAAACCCAGAGCCTTGATTGATTTTCTTGCAGTTCAAATTACTGATATGCATACATGCCATACTGTACTGATATACTGGTAGTCTAGTTTGATTTGATATTAATTCATGCTTTTAAATACTAAGTAATTTGATCATGGTTTCATTTAATCACTTATCAACAGACATACAATAATCTTGCATCAAGCCCTTGTACTTTTTCAGAGGCCCTATTATCTATTAGAAAGTGTGTATGTTAGTGGTACATTTTTTGTGGGGGGAGGGGTGAACATGGACTCATGCTTGAATATAGAGGTCAAGGGCCTATATAGCCCTAATTATTAAGTGTAGGCGGCATGAGATAAATGAAGTATTGCTGGTATCGGTCACATTACGGGTTTGGAAAAAATCCAAATCAACCTTACATATGTTACTATATTTTGATCCATGTTGAAAGTCTCATTTGGTGACTAATTTTCAAGACATTTTCATCAGTATATCAGAATGACATTATATTCATAAGAATGTATTTTAATTATAGCCATTGAACATTTCAGATCTCAGCATCAATGGCAGAATCAATTACCAAGGGGCATTCTAGGCAGTGGCAGGATACAGCCCTGAAAGAGTTTGAAATAGCAATTGATGATTTGCCACAGGTATAAATTTTACATAAATATTTGAGTCTGTGAGTTATACCAAGATACAGCAAATGGCAAATCTAACATACTGCACATGTACACTGCTGTAATCATAACTTTTGTATGTAACATGTATAAAGATGATCAAGCTTGGATTTGATATTCATGTTTTTGTTTACATTTATCTTCTCAAGTATTCAAGTTTTAAAATTCAAAGAGATACAGTAGTAAATCTCGGCATACCCCAGTACATAAACATATGTTGGGTATAATGTCTTAAGTCTAAAATGAAAAAGATAAATGAAGTTCACTCACATTTTGAATTTTGATATCAATACAATTGAACATGTAGGAATTGTAGGTCTACTTTTATGGCAGGCAGACTCATTGTGCTAACTTACATGTTTGATTATTGTGTAAACAGAAAGTGCAGGTTACCATCAGAATATAAACAGTTATCATATAAACTTTAATATGTATTTCCAGGTGCCTGGAGAAAAGTCATCATTAAAGTATTTGGGATTACGAAAGCACCTGTCCCATGAAGCAAATAAACATTTACTACCCACTAAACTGGTAAAGCAGCTTCTACATGCTTCCTACAAAATAACAAAAGAGCAGTCAAGGCACAAACGTTTGTTCGCATATTTCCTGTCAGAACTTAGTGGATCAGACTATAGCCAAGCATTCATCGATTCGGTTGCAAAAAAGATTTCTCGATCTAAATGGAAAAAGGAGAACGCTTTCATTATTCCTGTATCAACATATAAATCTACAAATCCTGATCTTACAAATACACCTACTAGTGACAGAACCTTTAATGTGACAAATGGAACTAAAATTTCTCGAAGAAAACTAGTATTTTGTAGTTCTTGTCACACAAGTAAAAGAACAATTCAAATCATGAAAACTGTGTCTAAAAAACAGAAATTATTAATCAACAAAAATGAATTATTATGTCAACAGGAAAAGCAGAAAAGGAAAAAACTTAAAGAACAATTGATTAATAAAGAAAACAAAACTTTGAGTTTAAAAAGAAAACTCCAAATGAAAAATGAAGAGGAATTATCAATGAAAAAGTTACAGAAACAGAACATTAGATTTGAGCATATGTCAAATAAATCAGATGCAACTATCAATGCTTTGAAAGAAGATTTAAATAAAAACAATGAAACAATAAGTCAAATTTCAAAAGAAAGAGACAATTTAAAGAAAAGTCTAAGAAAAATAAAGAAGAGAAATAGACAAAGAAGGTCATCAATGATTAAAACTGTTGAGAAAGGTGCATATAATGATAAAACAATGCTTGTGACAACTGAGTTACAGAATATGGGGGTCAACGCAACGATAGCTGGTAAAATTCAAAACACTGTGTTGACTGCATACTGTGGTAAAAGACTAGAATGTACTCCATCGAGGTATACATTTCTTTATTTGTCATTTTTAAGTTTATAATCCATTTTGAGTACTATACTTCTACTTAATTTTGCCCTACTTATTTTGGCCGATTTGCTGCTTGATCATTACATGCATTTGGTGGGTTCTCAATTTGGCGGAATTGCAATATTATAACGCACTTATGGGAATTTAGCGGATCCGCCAAATTAAAACAGCGACCAAATTAAGTAATAGTACAATAATTTTGACGCAAAATCAATAATGGTTTAATTCTGTAGCAGAGTAATTGAATTATAAACAGACACATAAACTTCACATAATTAATGTTTAATTGCATTTGTATAATGATCAGAGGTTTTTAGACAATTCCTCAGTCTTGCATCAAGACCTATCTGGAAAAATAAACTTTAACTTGTCTTATCCAAGGGATTCCTATTGATTAGAAAAATGATTCAGCCTATTTTCACTTTCTGTGGCACCAGTTGGCACTTGGTATCAAATGTACCATGCCAGATTGATTTTTTAAATAAACTGTTCAAATTTGATTTCAGAACTACTTCTGGCAGAATGGTTCGTCGCGGAGGCCTTCTAAGTGATGCTCAAGTTGGACTTGAAATGGAGGCAAGAGCACAGAATGGCATGCGTGTTGCCCAGGATACAACAACAAGGAAAGGCCTAGAACATGTGTCAACCATATGGACTTTTAATGATGGCAATTCTCTTGAGTCTAGGGTAGAGAATCTTCCAAACCACACATCAGAGGCTCAACTAGATCATATAAAGAACTCTTTGGAAAAAACAACATCTATTTTAGATCAACTTAATATTCCCAATTCTTCCAAACAATCTATTGCATACATAACAGAATTCATGGGGGATCATGTCAATAAAAAACTTCATAGGGAATTGGAGTTAGAACATTTGGACTGTCTTAAAAAGTTACTTCAGGAGGATATCTTAACACCAGCGCAAACCATCAATTTGAAAGAACTTTACCTGAGTGCCTGCCAAATGCATTCTGGTGCAAAAGTAAGCAGATCCTTTTATGAGGGAATGCATCAAATACAACCAGATCTAGGGGTATTAGGCAAGTATGAGCAAAGCAATATGGCGCGGCCAGGAAGAACATTTGAGGCAATGGGTGGTAAGATTGTTGAAACAATAAGTTCAGTTTTTAGTCCAGATCATGCCAATAAAAATGAGTTTAGCCGTGCGGATGTCTGGAGAGGCTGGTGTGCTGAAAAAGACTACAATATTCCAACATTTTCTTATGTTAATAAAAACAGACACTACAGACATGAGTATGAGTCTGGGAAGATCATTAAAGCTATTCCATATATCATTGAATTTTATGAGGAACTTCTTTCACAAGGTGCCACTCTAAGAAACAAAGATATTTTAATCAAAAATGCCCTTGCAAATGATGAAGTTTTAGCCCAACTAACAGCAGCAGATGCTTTCTCTTCATATCATAAACAATTTATGACTATGTTAAAAAGTCATGACGTTTTGTCTGTTGGACCCTACATTAACAATGCTTTTCAATTTTTACAAAATGTAAATAAAAATAATGCAAGGGAAATTTTAAATGGAGAAAAAACGTTATTCAATAGCGAGTTCTTGAGAACTGATGGAAAAAAATTTTCCATGCCTGTTGGAGCTCAGTTACTCTCAAACTCACAAAATATCATAGATAGAGCCATAGACTATTTGATATCAGGTTGTAACCTGGGTGCTACTGCCCTTAGGAAAATTTCTCAGGAATATTTTGAGGAAGGAATATACTATTCTCCCACTCCACATATGATATCAATGTTGAGTGGAAAAGAGTCACACAGCGACAGAAATGAATCTAACCTGGGACGGTATAGTCAGCAGAGACAAAAAGAGCCAAGTGCTTGTTGGGATACCATCAACAGTAAAGTGGCCATGAGGGCAAATAAAACTATTAATAAAGTCAGAAAAAATCAGGTTTTACAAAATGCAATTAGTTTAACTCGAAAATTGGAAAGGAAATATACCACTGTGACAATAAAAAAGCATTTAAAACACATTTCAGAAAAAAACAAGCCTCATAGGCAAGCAAAGTTACTAATTTTTGAACGACAAAAACTTAGCAGGGAAAATAGGGAAAAAAGACTGGCAAATGCAATATCATCAGATGGTAAATGTGTCACAAAGGGTCAAGTTGATCTTTTGTTAAAGAATAAACGTACCCTCCTTGACAAGAAATTTGCCCTCAAATCTCAAATAAATTATATCAAAGCATCCTTTTATGAGAGTGTTGAATTCAAAAGCCTTTTCACCTTTTCTGAAAGAGGTAGAGTACATACTATTTTAAAATTAAAAGATAACTTAATTGAGCTACTAGGCCTTGTGTATGGAGATAAGAGAAACATTTTTGATGTTTTTAAATAAATTGAATGTTTTGTTTCTGTCACTATCAAAAAGTGACTATATGGTGTAATCACCACCATTAATGTTCACCTTTTTTATTATCAGGGTTAGATGTACAGCCCATTCTTAGAACTTATAGGTTGGTGACATTGTTTAAAATGCATTGTGGGTGGAAACCATTTGTCTTGATAATGACATACATTGTATTACATTATGTTTTCCATATGTATGGTACAGTATCTATACATCCCTACTATATTATGCATTTTATTCTGATCATTTTGATGCAAAAATGAGCAAAATCCGATAAAGTTTGGCCGAGTTATATCATTTTGCTTTCGAGTGATGTAAGAATATATATTTACTAGTACAGTAGTAAAAGGGTAGTAAACAAGTTACCATAGCAACAAATAATAACTTATTATATTTATTAATCATTAGATGTATAATAATAATATATATATATATATATTTATTTATTGACTTGAATAATAATACATATAATACAACATACATTATTTAAAACAGATGTGCATTATGTGTTTTTGAGAGATACAGTACAATGAACCAAAATGGTTGTTACCATGGCAACAGTTATCTTTTCATACAATTGTAACAGCTGTTGCAATTTTAAACTCCCAGGGCATTATTATACAATACCTTGTTGAATTCATATTATTCTCAAGTCATCCTATGAATCAATATGGTGTAATCACCATAAAACACACCCAAAATAGCTGAAAATCTCAGATTTTTAGTAAAATCGCTAAAAACCCTTTCAATTAGTACATGTAATGGTCAAATGTGCTATTAAATACCCTAAAATACCTTATTTCCCATCAAATTACTTATAAATATGGTTTTTATCACTTTTAACATTGATTTGAAAAAAATATTTTTCACCAAATTGATCTTTGGGGGGTAAAAATGAGATTTTTGACTATATTGTTCCCATGGTTACCATAGCAACCACTGTTGCTATGGCAACCAAATTTATTTTTTTGGAAAGCTGATGATGTGTCCTTTACATATGTAGAGTTTCAATTAATTTGGGTTAACTGTTGATGAGAAAATATACTTTAAAAACTGGTGATTTTAGTAAAAAATCCTTGAACAGGTCTGAATTTTAAGTGAAAAACTCTTGTGCGTTCAATATAATTCTGTATTTTTCTACTTTCATCTTAAATAGCTGCATTTACATGATGTGATAATTAGTTGATTGATGGTTGTGTCATTTGATTTTCAATATTTGTTTTGTTTCCTAATTGTTACATGACTAGAATTACACAGAAAGTTGATATTTATTGGGAAAATGTATTAAGTTTGATAATGTGATCATCCAAATTATGATAATGACTTCTATAGTGTTTTCAAACAGTAAAAGGTCAGTTAGGTGCTGTTCAAAAATACATCTTGGAAAAAATGTTCATGTTTTTTTTTTTATAATTATTAGATCACACATTTGATATATAATGAAACCTGTATATCTGAACACCTCCCTAATACAAACACCTCGCAATCTGAACATTTTTCCTATCCCAAATGTTGTGTCTCCCATTGACTTCCATGTTAAAAACTTGAAATGAGAACACCTGTTAATCTGAACACTTTTGATTGGTCCTAGTGGCATTCGGATTGGACCTGATTTTGCTGTAAATGTATATTATGAAATTTATAGTATGAAAGCAATAAGAAATGAGAGCAAAGACAGAAATCCAAAATTTAGAAAATTGCTTTTTGAATGTTTTTGGGATGATTTTACACAAGAGCATCCCTAGATGGATTCTATCATAATTTTCATAATTTAGAAAGTTATTCCAAAATAAGAGGGTTGCGTTTTTTTGTCTATGTCTCTATAACTGATACTGTCATTGCTTTGTCTCATATAGTTGACAAACAAATAAAGAACATTATATAGGTCTTTCAGTCTGTAATTGTCAGCCTTATATTGCAAAACAAGCATTTAATGCTTGAATAAATAGCACAGTCACTCACTACTTATATTGATTATCTATTGAACTAAATACTTTTCAAGAGCACAAAAAGTGCTCCAAGGAAACAGAGTTTGATGGATGTAGAAAATATGTTTGTTGGTTTATCAGTCCATACATCTGATTCATACATTTATCTAGTCATACATGTGTGTCTTGTCTATCATAACCCATTTGCATTGCATTTGCTATTTTTTTAATAAGCATATACCAAAATTGGAATAGAAGTGCTAAATCTGATACGTCAAAATTTGATGGAGCAATTCAATTTACCCATTGTATTGAAAAGGGCTGCTTTTACATGATTTGCCCATTATCGAGTTATTTGATGGATTTATATACCCTGGTATTGTTATTTTCTTGTTCATTATATATCTTATTTGTTGTTCAAGCAACCTGTCACCTTTCCCATTATGGGTAGCAAAAAGGGACCTTATAGTATCTTTCTTGATATCCCAAATCTGACTTTTAGCAGCAATTTGAGGATTACAATGTGCAGAGTCATCAAAAAATAATGGCTCATGTAGTTGCCACTTGACTAATTGAGGCTTGAAAGAGGTTCCACTTAGTGAAATTGCTTGTTTTTGTTATTCAATAGCTTTATAATTGCATTGTAATATTGTTGATCAATTACAGGCAGTGACACTGATATGCTCTAGAACACACTTAAGTCCATTGATGAGCCTTTTACCAATGTTTATTCGAAAACAGTATGTATTCCAAAGTTTCTTCAACCTGATTCAACATGATTAGTCTGAGAGAATTTGTCAAATTACCCATAAGCGTAGGCCCCCTCATAACCAATAGAAATAAAGCCATGAGAAAGAGGAAAAAAGAGCTTTAAAATGCTTTTTATTTGAAGCTTCTTAGCTCAACTAGCTCAAGGAAGTTGCATCAATTTTTGTAAAATTCAAAATAAATCTTATTTTTTGGCTTGTTTATGCCACAATTGCACCCCTGACTGAAAACCAACTCTTTTTGCGCGATTGCACCCCCCCCCCTGACTGAAAACCTACGCCCCTGTAACCAGTCTGCAAAATTTGTTTAGAGGGATTCAAAATTTATGGAGGAAGTTTATGAAATCCTCCAACATTTATTCAAATAGGTACTCTGCATAGTTTATGAGATAAATTTAAGATATAACAAATACACAATCTTCACACAAATACACACTCTAAATATGCAAATTAGAAAATATGATATCATTTCCAATTTATGGTATTGTCTATACTTGTAACTGGAGCACTATATCAACTCTTTACAGGTCACTTATCCCCATTACTGATATTGAATATCAATTCTGAATGCTCAGTGGAAATCAAGGTCTTGTTTTTCCTTCCTTACAGGAAATTATCCTCTTTTATCTTTTTCTTGTTTTTAAAATCTTCCGCATTAACAAGATCTATCGATCAAAAATTCTCAATTCTGAGATGTACGATTTGGTAATATTTTTTGTTATCTTTAAAATCATTGATTGCCTTACACTTATATGCTCATTGTAATTTATGATAAGATTGTGTTATATGAAGTTTTATGGAGGAAATTAACTTGGCTTGATTGTCTGACATCTAATAAATCCTGACTTGTACTTGTAGGTTAAAGCAACTCACTGAATGCTTAAGTATGAAATTCATATTTTGTATTAAGAGGCAATATATCAATGAAAAACGTTGTTCAATTTTATTAGAACATTCATTACCTCATATTTGATTAATTGATACATGCCTCTACATACTAAATTTTCTTTGAATTTTAGCTTTAGGATTCCTTTTACAGGGTGACACAAAAAGTACCTCGAAAATAAAAGCATTCATAATTATTATTATTATGTTACCACCAAAAGTAGTTACATATTGTTATGGTCTACTATTTTTTTAGAGTGTGTTTGGCGTTTGGCATCTGTAACAAATGGCAAGTGGTGTCATTTTGCATTTTAAAGCCTTGTTATAATATTGTGTGAGCTACATGAAAGAAACAAATTATTTTCAGTATATTCATTGCAATAAATTCTATCTATCCTCCTTAATTCAACCATAAATTGTTCTGATAATCCTTATGTGGTGTTCCATGGCTAAATGAGCCAATCAGATTATAATAAAAAATAATATAAAAATGTCGCAGCCCACATGCCTTTAGACTAAATATTATATATATCGTGTTTAAGTGTATTATGATAGTCTATGATAGTTCCTGTTTTTGTGATTCCCAGAATCACGGTGATCGTCAAGAAATGTCATTATTGCATTATTCTTCACGTCTCTCCACAAAAATGTCATTGTGGCATTTTTCCTCATTTGTTAATTGTCTCTCCACAGAAGGCATGGCACACCTATCGATTTTACATATGTGACTAAATGCTGGCATTTAATTTTGAGCAGCTACTGTAGACACAGTATACTTCACTATAATATACTTAATTTTGGTAAAAGTAAAGCACCATTGGTACCATCCTCCGATCACAGGACTTCAAAATCCAGAATATATTCTTTCTTTTTATCCCCTGCGATAAGCAGTTAGCATTTCCCCGGTTAAGAACTTGCAATCTGATTGGCTGTCGCAACACTGCAACAGAAATCATGTATT